TTTTTTTTCCGCAGTCTGCGGGAAGCGCTACAAGAACCGCCCGGGGCTGAGTTACCACTACGCCCATTCCCACCTGGCTGAGGAGGAGGGGGATGACAAGGACGACTCCCAACCCCCCACGCCTGTATCCCAACGCTCCGAGGAGCAGAAATGTGAGAGGATTCCCCAAAATTCCCCCTCGAATTCCCGCCGGGAGGAGGCGGGAAAAGCTGCGGAACCGACTTTTCTGGGGTGGGAACGAGCAGCGAACCCGGCACTGGGTGGGGGAAGGGGGGGTCTGGTGGGGCTGCCCCCAAAACTTCCACAGCTTCCAGAAATTCCACAGCTTCCCGAAATTCCACAACTTCCTAAACTTCCACAACTTCCAGAAATTCCACAGCTTCCAAAAAATTCACACCTTCTCAAAATTCCACAGCTTCCAAAAATTCCACAGCTTCCAAAAATTCCACAGCTTCCAGAAATTCCACAGCTTCCACAGCTTCCAAAAATTCCGCAGCTTCCAAAAATTCCACACCTTCCGAAAATTTCACAGCTTCCAGAAATTCCACAGCTTCCAAAAAATTCACACCTTCTCAAAATTCCACACGTTCCAAAAATTCCACAGCTTCCAGAAATTCCACAGCTTCCAAAAATTCCACACCTTCCAAAAATTCCACACCTTCCACAACTTCCTAAACTTCCACAACTTCCAGAAATTCCACAGCTTCCCAAACTTCCACAAACTTGCAAAAATTCCCCGGCTTCCTAAGCTCCCACAACTTCCAAGAATTCCCCTCCTTTCCCCAACTCCCACAACTTTCCCACCTTCCCGAACTCCCACAATTCCCACACGACTTCCTCCCGCGACTCCCAAAAATTCCACAACCCCCCTTCCACAACCTCCCAAAAATTCCACAACCTCCCAAAAATTCCACAACCTCCTCCCACAACCTCCCAAAAATTCCACAACCTCCCAAAAATTCCACAACCTCCTCCCACAACCTCCCAAAAATTCCACAACCAACCTCCTCCCACACCTCCCCCGGCTCCCAAAGCTCCCCCGACTCCCGGGAGCTGTGGAAGGAGCCTCTCGGGATCGGCTCCCGGGAGGGGCTGGGTGCTTTTCCCGCTGATCCGTGTGTCCCATTCCCGCTTTTCCAGCCAAGAAAGGCCCGGACGGGTTGGCCCTTCCCAACAACTACTGCGACTTCTGCCTGGGGGACTCCAAGATCAACAAGAAGACGGGGCAGCCCGAGGAGCTCGTGTCCTGCTCCGACTGCGGGAGGTCAGGTGGGGCCCTTTCCATGACTCCCGCGCGATTCCGGGGGGATTCCTTCACCTGTCCCTGGGAATTCCCCGGGCGGGTCACCCGGCGGGGCGGGGGGTTTCCATGACAACTCCATGACAATTCCGTGTTGTTTCCATGATGGTTTGTTCCCCTGATTTTTCCATGATGTTCCCGTGATGGTTCCATGATGATTCCATGACAATTCCATGACAATTCCATGTTGTTTCCATGATGGTTTGTTCCCCTGATTTTTCCATGATGTTCCCGTGATGGTTCCATGATGATTCCATGACGATTCCCTGACAATTCCCTGACCATTCCCTGCTGATCCCATGATAATTCCCTGTGTTCCCAGGGCACCCATCGTGCCTGCAGTTCACGCCGGTGATGATGGCGGCGGTGAAGACGTACCGCTGGCAGTGCATCGAGTGCAAGTGCTGCAACATCTGCGGCACCTCCGAGAACGACGTGAGGCCCCAACCCGCCGGGAGCGCCCCAAAATCCACTGGGAATGCCCCAAAATCCACTGGGAGCGCCCCAAAATCCACTGGGAATGCCCCAAAATCCACTGGGAACGCCCCAAAATCCACCGGGAATGCCCCAAAATCCACTGGGAACGCCCCAAAATCCACTGGGAACGCCCCAAAATCCACCGGGAATGCCCCAAAATCCACTGGGAACGCCCCAAAATCCACTGGGAACGCCCCAAAATCCACTGGGAACGCCCCAAAATCCACTGGGAACACTCCAAGAGTGTGGATTTAAGGGTCCATAAAACCCCGGAGAGGCTTTTTTTGGGGGGGGAATCTTTGGGATTTGGGCCCCCGGGGCGATCCCAGGTTTTTGGGCTCATTCCCGTGGAATTCCCGCAGGATCAGCTGCTGTTCTGTGACGACTGTGACCGCGGGTACCACATGTACTGCCTGACCCCCCCCATGGCAGAGCCCCCCGAGGGTGAGTCCTGACCCCCATCCCGATCCCCGATCCCAATCCCAACCCTGATCCTGATCCCAATCCCGATCCCCAATCCTGATCCCAATCGCAATCCCAATCCCGATCCCCAATCCTGATCCCAATCCTGACCCCGATCCCGATCCCTGATCCTGATCCCAATCCTGACCCCGATCCCGATCCCTGATCCTGATCCCAATCCCGACCCCGATCCCAATCCCGATCCTGATCCTGATCCCGATCCTGATCCCTGATCCCGATCCCGACCCTGATCCTGATCCCAGTCCTGACCCCGATCCCAATCCCGACCCCGATCCCAATCCCGATCCTGATCCTGATCCCCGATCCTGATCCCGATCCCGACCCTGATCCTGATCCCAATCCCCGATCCCGACCCTGATCCTGATCCCAATCC